AAGTCCCAAAAAGTAAAAAATAAAACTCAAACTCAGAGAAACTGATACAGAGAAACAACATTTATAACAATTACAGTGTTGATAATTGAAGAGATAATCTATTAGCAGTGACAACAATCAGGTGTAGATACAGTCTTTCCCTGCATGGAATGAAATAAATTAAACTTGCATTCATTTTTCAGTATTTACAACCTGTGACAATGTACGTTGAACTACATGTTTTAGTATTTAAACTTTTATAAGTTATCAAATCATCAGAAGAAAGTTTTGTTTTTCAATGTTCTCTCTATGAATGAAGTGACTTTTAGCCCTATTGTTTGTTATTGTTGCCCCGAGATGCATTTGGGTGACATGACGCCCCCTCCAGGCACCCCCCTCCAGGGACCCCCAGTCTTCTGCTGGGCTGAGTTTCATGATGAAAGGGACGACCTCTCTAGACCAGGAGCCGGCAAGCATCATCTGCTGTTCAGTTGTTTCACTAACCCCAAGGCCCAATGCAATATGTCCATGTTTTATCATCACTGCAGAGTTTGTTTACAGCAGATCAGCTTTGTAGCACAACATAATTTTTTACTCTTGTACACTCTGTTGTCAGTGTGCAGGGTTGTGTTCTAAGTAACATTATCTGTGACAAGTACGTGAGGGGCGCTACGATCAAAATATAATTTCATTTTACTTATAACATTAATTTAATTTAATTCCAATTGCTATGTTTTCCATACATCGTTGGTTTTTTTTAAAGGTAAATTTTGCTTAAAAACTGAAGAAGGGATAAAAACTGAGTAGTTGAGAAACTGATTTGAGTCCCAGTACTGAAGCCATGTTATACCTCTGTACAAGGATGTCTATTTCTTTAATTTTAACTAACTTAAAAGCCCGTGGCGGGGGAAGTGTACGCTAGATTTTGAAAAATTTCAGCGCATTACTTTGCCGTGTGAGAGTTTCTTTGCTTAAGCAATCATTCCAAACGCAACAAATAGGTATGACTGCAGCATGGAGCCCTCTCATCTCATGCCATCGCCTCATGCTCTCTCGCCTCATGCCTTTTCGCGCCACACCCCCTCGGCTCTTGCCCACGCATTTCAAATGAAACATACACAGGATCAAAAACACGAAATCGAGAAATATTTTCAAAACGGTCAGTGAGTCTGTTACAAATATAATGAGGCCATTATCTTTTTAAAACAAGTCCACCATTTAGAAAAAATATAACAAACACGATGTTTAAAATTATGTTAGTGATGTTTCTTGAACAGTGTGTGATTTACAAATTTAACACGTTTTTTAAAAAAAACACATTTTAGCTGTAGCTCTCATCTCATTACTGCAATGCTGCGTAGGAATGAGGCTCGGCGGATCAGACGCAAGCTTTTATTTTGAAAATTAGAAACTCACGAAGCTACAGGGGGCGTGGCTTCAAGGCACCAGGTGAGAGGGCACAAGATGAGAGGGCATGAGACAAGAGGCTCCAGGCTGCAGACATACACTTACAGGGGTTGTAAACCTTTCTTAAAGGGTTTAAATTAATAGCAATGCTCTTTGATTAAATATGCATGTCTAAACTTTTGTTAAGTTGTTGGTTTATTACCGAGGCCCACAGACTCAGAAGCCTTGGTGCAAGAGTTTTCAGATCTCACACTTCTATCAGCAGGATGTCATCACTATCACAAAAGATTAAACGTCTGAAAAAAATATGAAGTGAACAGCTGCCTAGTGCATTAACTTAGGTCAGTCCAACACACCTACTTTCACCTCTGTAGACCATTCTGCCAAATTAAAGACTTGTCCTCTGGGTTTTCATTGGACGATCGTCTCAGCCAATCCGAAGACATGCAATTTTGTCTAGGATAGTTATTGTCAGTGGAACCTGTAGCATAAAATACTGTATGATTTTATCAGAAAGCTAATTGAATTTCAATTTCAGTACGCAAACATTAAAGCTGGAATTTATCATTTAGCTGAATAATACTCAGATTAGATTTCCAATCCTTTATTCACAGAGTTGACAGGGTACTTTCCTGAGGAAGGCTACAGTGTTTTATTCACCCCAACAATGCATGTTCCAATGGGACATAAATAGCATTCAACTTAAGGGATGTCCATCGCTCCCCGGGCAGCTTGTGATGCTAGCAGCATGGCCAGTCAGGGCATTTGAAAGCAGCAGTACTCAGTGCAGGGTAAACGAGAGGGGGCAAACAGGTTCATTCATGTAGAAGCAGAAGTTCACTGTAATTGCTTTCTCCTCTTTTTCTTCTATTCGTAACACTCTGGGTTCACTAAACTTCATGGAGATCAAGGTTTTGTTGTCACAGAAACTGTTCTATCTCAAAAGTAGCTGGTTTCTGAATCCACTGACATGACCGTCTTTTGGATGACAGATTGGCATATGTTCAATAAAGACCCTTTAAAGGCGAAATGCCACAGAACGATCTCATATGTATGCTGGACCTTGAGAATTGAGAATCTAAATACGTCTGACAAATTCCTAAGAATGGTAACAAAATTAGTAAGTCAGTAGAGCCTTTTTGAAACACCCTGATAGATTTGATGCCTTAAAAGCCTTTAGATTGACTCCGCCTCTCAACAGCCGCATGTCTATGTCTGATCTATCATTATTTTGTGATTATAAGTTAATAAAAGAAGGAAATGCTAACTCAGTCTTGTAGTCCTGTTTTTGCAGCAAGACTTTTTCAAATTAGACTAAAGGCCTGTTTGGCTTTGAATAAAAAAGCTTTACATCAAAAGGGCTTGACCTAATAGTTGATATGGATAACATGGATGTGACCTGTAGCTGGACGGAGAGCGTCTGGTGTCTGGGTTTCAAGAAGACACAGCCACCAGACTGCCCGAGTTCATTTTTAGTACAGGTTTTGATCCACTTACTGATGGCAGATGGGTTTGGGTGGATCATGAGCCACCTGAGTCTGCTGTTCTGTGAAGATGGTCATATGAAGGCCCTGAACATAAGGCCTGAAACATTCAAGAGTCCAAATCAAACATTAGTCCTATTTATACTGCCAGTTCAAAGTGCAATATTTAAATCCCTGTGATATCTCACCTTCACCGTGAATGTCAGGTGAAATGCAGGGACCAAGTGATCCCCCATCAGACCATTAGACAGGATCAGTAGAGCCAGGTGGGGAGGACAGCACTGTGTGTGTGCATGTCTGAGTGTGTGTACAGTATATGTGGAGCTCCCACTGTTTCCCTACCAAGTCGTACTTCTGCAATGCTGTACCACGCTGTGAACTCACACACCGGGGTATCAATATCACACCGATGTGGAATCAGTATGTACAAAGATATAATGACAGCAGATATCTGTTGCAGCGCTGTATTAGAATTACAATCTCTAAAGGGCTACTCTTTCCCTGACATAGAGTAGGACTTTGCTGCTTTGTGCAGATAGCGGCTTGCATAAGCCAAAAAGGGCCTTCCTTGTTTTTCTGCATCGGTATTGCTCTTAGACCATGGGGGTCACATGCGTAACTGGGAAAGGGGCATTTAAATCAGGACATCAAAAGACAGGTGCTTCCTTGAAGTCCATGGATTCTTGATATGTATCATGCCTGTGAAAAACTGCATCCTTCTTAATGAGTTCATAAAGATACTCAGCATGGCATGCACAGTTTTCAACCAAACAATAGTATCCAGACGGGATCCAGTGGATGGGTTTTAACGTCCATCACAACTTTGATTTTGTCCATATCAGGTTTTATGCCTGAAGGTGTGATGCTGTAGACGAGGAAAGTGAGCTCATTGAGACAAAACTGTTGTTTCTTAAGCTGCAGAGATGCACCAGTGGCTTTTAGTTTTCTTAAAGATCAGCCTGATGCTGTTCAAAGGTGGGAGGAGCAACAACAAAATCTTCCAGATACACTGAACACGTTTTAGATGAGTCCAGCAAGGTCTCTGACATGTGGCTCGTGCATTGCATTGCCTGAAAACTGAGAGCACAGAACTGAAAGAGTCAACAGGCCAATATCTTGAGTGCCCCAGGGGTGTTAGCTCACTAGTGCTGTTCACTCTTTTCACAAATCTACGTAGCCTACAAGCGATAGTGAAAAAGTTAGTGGTGATACTGGGCCTTGTGCAAACTGACTTTGATATATGTATAAATCCACAATCATCAGCTTCGTGTATTGTGACACCAACTCTTCCTCAACATGAAACATAAAAAACAGAGGAGATCCAGTGCGGAGTCCACCTCAGCATCCACATTGATAACAATAAGTTGTCCCAGGTAGAAGCTGTCTGCTCCACTCTGAAACTTTGGACCTTTGGTGTGACCAGGGAAGTGCAGCCTCCTTTAATATGACATTTCTATCTGGACTCATGAGAGCCATGCACATCCTGAAAAACTGACTGCTGCATGGTGCATAGAGTATATGCACGCCTACGATCTCCGTTCATGTAGGCTAATTAAACGGCAGCATTAAGTTTTCTGTTCGCCAGTATGTTGCGCTCCGCTCCTATGTTTGAGTCTGTTGTACCACAGGTAGCATTAATTAAAAGGCATATATTTTCATAAAAGCTTAGTATAGTGGACTCTGTAGCTTCGTCCGCTACTAATGCATTAATTCGTCATTCGCATTGCAATGCAAATAATGCATTAACTCTGACGGCCCTAGAAATACCATAACGTATCCACATGTTACTGCCCAACACTGCTTGGCATAGTATCTTAATAGGTAATTGAATATTTTACATTGAAAGCAAGGAAAACCCAAGTCCTGGCATATGAAAGCCAAAAAGCTGATCTACATGTTATTCAGTTGCCTTTCTCCTTCTGTTTATTGCAGCTTCATATTAATGGTCAAAGGCATCTAACAGTCAGTAACTTTCAAATCTTGATTTATCTCGTTTGCATTTTCTCAAATCAGTTGCTCAGCAATTTGCTATAGCAGCATAGGCGTGACAGTCTATATTACTTCAGTATTTCCGGAAACAGTCGAATATGACCGACACCTCCCGAGGATGTGTGTGTGGTCGAGGTGTTGAGGATGCTGGGCATTTAAAGAAAAGCCACCGCGGACCGAGGACAGGGAGCTGAGGATTACACGGCTTTATCGGGATCACTAATCGACACTGAAAGTGGAAAAAAAAATCTTTACTTTCAGCAAATGAGTGAAGAATTGACCTCACACTTCTCACTGTGCTTTACGGACCGTTTTCCCAGTCGCCTCGGAGAATAAGAGCAAGTGTTGCGTACTGGAGGATTTTAAAGACTCTCTTTTAAATTGTGTCAAGTCTGGGGACCACCCTGCATTTCTCCTCTTCAGCATATTTCCCGAAATACAAAACAAACAAACAGATATCCCTGCGAAATGGTGAGTGATGAAATGTTTTAACCCATCTGTTGTGGGATGAGAATGTGTGAAGAAGCTTTAATCATATCTCCGGTAAAAAGAGGACTGCAGCGGGCTGGACACGTTTTTATTTACAAGTCCTTCAACATTAACTTAGCTGCTGAAGTTTCACCCAACACTGACGGATGACAACTATACAAAATCAATAAAATACTCTTAACAATCTTTCCCCCTAAAAATCACAGAGTCTTAAAGAGAGAGAACTAAAATCCCACTGCTTTAATTCTGCATGTTGCCATGTTTAGCCTGAAAGTGGACTAAACGCTTAAATAAACAAATCAGGTTCAGCCTCATAGGCTCTTATAGATCAGAATTATATAGACCGTAGTATATTGCTGTTTCACGGATTTGCGTCAATATCCATTTAATGACAGTCAGAACAAGCTTTGGCCCCTAAGAAACAATTGATTTAGTCTATCCTGCGTAAAGAAATAAAGACACACCTGCGTTATGCAAAGCACTGAATTAAAGTCCGATATGAACGTTTATGGATCAAGCAGAACATCATAATATGAGAATAATTTAATGCCTTCGTTAGGAGTTGACTTATTAGAATACAGTATGCGCTAAATAATAAGTGACATCATGCAATTAACATCTTTACATATTTATTTCGATTATCACAGCACAATAGCCTGCAAGGGAACATCATGCGATTTACAGTGCGCTTACTGCTTTTAATGTTTCAGAATCAGAAATACTTTATTTAATCCTGCGGAAAATTAGTCGTTACAGTTACAATATAGCAGTAGGAAATATAGAAATATACATATATAGAATATATAATCAAATAGAAATAATAGAATAAGCAATAATTACCAAGTAAGAGTATCTGTAGAGTAAACTAAGCATAGGGAATATATCAGAATCAGAATCAGATTTATTGGCCAGGTATATGCTTACACACACAAGGAATTTAACTTTGGTGAATTGTGTTCTCATATGTACAGGTACAACATTAAATATCAACAATAAACATAATAAGCAAAGACTTATATTTACATGACTAAATATGAAACAGTGCAGTGGTGAATAGTGCAAAAGATGCTGAAGTAAGATGATAATAAGCAAAAATGCAGTTATGTGACAGATGGGTCAATTAACATGTCAATTACAGTATTTAGCTGACATAAATAAGTGTGCGTAGATTGATAATTTAAATAAAAATATATATATATATATATATATATATATATATATATATATATATACATATATGTATATTCACAGTGATGGTTTGGTTTAGAGTTATATATATATATATATATATATATACAATGAACAATATTTGCAAATATGATAGGCTAAACCAGATGTGCTGTGTTGAAGAGTGTATGTATAAGGCTCAGTAAGACAATGTTATGTAGCTTTGTATCAGATCCAGTGTGTTGCTACCCAGCAGCTTATGTGTTTTTACACTCATTAACTCGTTTTATTGACTGACTAAGCAGCACTCACAATTCATTCTTTTGTCAGTTTTCAAAATCAAGATTTGCAACCAGTCCTGTTCAAGCTCCTGATGCAAAAGTCTCACAGTACTTTTCTCAAGGACATAGCACATTCTCATATTTGCTGACCCACCAATAATGTTCACAGTAAATGTCTTTTCAAACCAATAATAATATGATAATCATTCATATTCACTCATAAGTCTTGGAACAAATAATTTATTCATATTTTCAATCCTTAAACTCTCACTTAAAGGTTCTATATGTAACTTTTTACAATCGTTTTTTTTATACCCCATTAATAAGCGAACGGTTAACTGATATGAAAAAGTAGATGTTCACTGTCTATCTGTGTTGCCTGTATACAATTTTTACCAGCTCCAGGAAGTGACATTTTATGCGCGTTCTCAACGTCCCCCTCACTGACGGCCTGCGGTGTCACTACAAACGCAGTATTTTTGAAAGTTACATATAACCCCTTTAACAGTTTTCCTGTGTCATCACACTCAACTTACTTTTTTATCTCAATTTCTTTACACCCAGAACAACATGTATTTGATGTTAAACAAATATTACAGGTATCTTACTAAATTGGACTGGAGCTCGTGCATCATTGTCATGGTCAAGGGTTTTCTAAGGCTCTCGCTGCTGGTACAACAGCTGTATAGCCTTTCTTCCTTCCATCTGTCCTCACACTCAGTGGTCCTCCTCATGTTGAAAAATGTTGTGTAATTTCAGGGATGAGCAAGTATCAAATCAGATTTATTTTGCCAGTCTGCATATAAACCAGTTTTTTATTGCTTCTCCACGCTCTTCACACCAGAAGACTGAGGTACCTGGCCAGCTGTATGGTTCCAGTATCAGCCAGTATAAATGTCCATAATTCTTTAGGGTTTGAGCAATTTGGGGGGAATTTTGATTGGATTTGATACCCATAGTTTAGGATCAAGCATCAACCTCTAGTGTTAAAAAATGAAGCCAAAGCGGCAGTGCAAAAACCCACAGTTTGAGTGTGTGCTTCAGGCTGGCTCCAAAAGACCCAGAAGTCACACCCATTCAAAGAAAGCCATTTTTATAGCATAAATTAACATATTTTCAGCCTGTTTCAAAAAACTGATACTGTTCTGATGTCCTCATTGGCATACACTGTATAATGGGGGTGGCATTTTTTACCACGCATCCGTTTTGTTTTGAGGAACGATACGTGTAATTGACATGATTGACAGGTAGGCGCGGTGTAACGGTTCATAAAGAGGCTTAAAACCCACCTCAGCTCCAGCTCTCAGCCTGTCGTTAGATTGACTGAAAGTTAGACTGACTGAAAGTTAGACTGAGACAATATTTCCAGCATGGCGGCTGCTGCCGATGAGCCTCCGGAGCCCCCTGCAGGAAAAGATGGGTGACGTCACTAAAGCTTTGTCTATCAACATTTACAGATTATCTTTAGAATTAAAAAAATATTAAAATTGTGTAGGTAGTAGTGTTTTTGTTGTGGTGACAACACACTGCATTAACTTAAAGCCACCATTTGCAGGCTATAAGGTACATTGACCTGTGGTTTCACTAAGGTCACTCTCACATGACGTATGGTGGACTGGGTGCAATTCAAAGGGGGGATTTAATTTGATTCAGTTTGTTTTTACACTGCACTTTGTCAAGCTCACCAAAGTCAAATGGTAACATAGCCACCCAGACACTAGTTGGCACACTGCCCTCCGGCCTAATGCTGCACTATGAACCCAAGGTAAACAGCAGGACAGTGGAAGAATGGCATCCTGTAGCACGGCACAGTTTGTCACTATTTTAAAATTTAAAATGGAGATGAAGCTAAATGTCAACTGTGTCAGGTTAAAGTGGCATATCGACCGGAGCATTGTGTTACCACATTTAGCAAAGGCATGTATCTGACGAATCAGGTTAGACTATGTAAATCCTTAGCTGGGGACAGGACTTAAAGTCGTTGACGTAAAGTCAATTATCCAAAATACGTAGAGAAGACTGTCACTCCAAGCAACTAAAATCACATTAGTTGTCTTGATAACGTCTTATTTAGTTCTCATCTAGTCTTCCGACTACTCAAAGCTCTTTTACACCACAGGTCACATCTACACATTCACACTCTGATGGTAGAGGCTGCTATGTAAAGTGACCCTCAGAAGTAACTAATCCCATTCATACAAATGCATACGCCGTTCACAAAGTTAAGTTGAGTAAGACATGTTGCTGCAGGACTGGGGATCGAACCCACTGACTACTGACTCTACCACTGAGCCACAGCCAATCATTCTCTAGGGAAAACGCCCTCCGAACATCAGATGAGGAGAGCAGTTTCAGGCTAGCTAATAAGTTACTCAGCAGTAGTATATTACACAGCATTCAAACCGACCACCTGGCATTGTCACTTGTTTTTATTTAAATGGACTTCACTTATAGCCGTCCCACCACGTCTCCTTTACACTGGGCGTCACATTTACCATTTAAACACATGATGGCAAAGGCATAGTACCAAGATGCCCAGATGCCAGTTAGATGACCAGATCAACCACTGAGCCACAACCACCCCAGAGTTTGTGCAGTTCTAGGGCTGTCCCCCTATCTCACTATGTTCCCCAAAGACCTTTCACTGGCAAAACATTTATACTAAAGACATCAGCTTGAACTCCAGTTAGGAATGTGAATCAATTGAGAGCTGGTCACCCAGTAGATAAAGAAGAAGGCTTGTCACTTACATGGTCCCTACACCAGCATAATAAGGTAATATGTTCTACAGCAGGGAAAGTCAATAGTGTAATGCCAAAGTGCAATTAGGCCCTAACTGTTCAGTGTCCAACAGATTACTCTGTGTTCATACGACTTCTGTCTTGGCTTATAGTGTGAATATGCAGTACGTATAAGGCATTCAAGAAAAGTACGTTTTGATCCCAATTGATGTTCCATGAATAGATAGGTTAAAAGTTGCTTATTGACTGTTTATACTGTATGCACTTTCACAAAGTTAAATCATGTCGTTTGTCGTTTCTTTCTGCAGAGTGGGGAACAGATTTTTGATATCAGGCTCTCCGTAGAGACAATTGTATTGGAGTCTTCAGTTTGTCTCTTACATGTTATGGTATTCATAGCTTTCAGTGACGTCACCAGCGAGGAGGGCTGGAGGGCAAAAAACGCTCAGGAAAGTAACGGCCACCGTTGAAAACCCTGTAGAACTGCAGCACAGGCTTTTAATTTAACATCTACTATAAACGACATATTTACATCACCTGACAACCATAGGAAAACTAAGATATTAAGATAAACTTGCGATACTTTAACAGCGCACGGGACACTATTTATAGCGCTAGAAACGGCAAAGTCCGTGCCGGTGTTACGGTTAAGAGTTACCGTGTTAACTGGTGACTGTCAGCCGAGTGACTCTGGTTGTCGTACGTTACTTGTCCTAACGAAAGCATATTTGTTTAGCTTTCATTAAAACATATCTCATAAGTAATTTTGACATTATGCTAATACAAAAACGGA